ATTTTCACGCAAATTCTTCTGCTAGTTGGGGTTTAGTCCAAATCTGCATCCTTTCCTTCAAGGCTCAGGGGTCCAAGATTATCTTCTGTGTCTGTATTTATTGGTTTCCCTTTTCTTTGTTGAAGAGGGTCTGTGCAATCCTTCTGCCTAGTCCGCCATCTTGCCCCGCCTCCAGTTAATGTCAATGAAAAGGAAGCAATGTTTTCCACCATAGCTTCATCATATAGATTATAAACTCTATGGATATACTTGACAATTTCAACATATTAAGATTTTTATCTAATTACAACATTACAGTCTAACTTCATTAATTAGATTTGGTTCCTTGACATTTGTAATCTGCCTGATCTATAGGCAACACTTAGAAACAGAAGTATTCTGTAAATTGATAGTAGTTATGGAGAAACATATCATTTATTACAACCTTTTAAAAAAAGTAATCGAGTGCCTAAATAGTAGGTATACCATGTTTATATATCAGTGTAAACTATCTTGAAAAAGGGTCCTCAGGCTAGGCTAGGTATGTCAGTCGGCTTGTCCAGAGGGCAAACATTTCACCCTCTGTTGTCTCAGACTCTTGTTTACGGCTCCGAAGTCTTTAAGAGGTCGGTGGGGGCTCTCACACTTATGCCCACAAACATTTTATTTCTCTTGGGTTGTTTTTAAAAGTGAATATACACTGTAATTTGACTTGAGTAAATTCATCTTAATAAAGTAACTTTGTATGGAAAATTCTTTATATAGAAACATTTAATTTGTAAGAGCGAAAAGGAGAAACAATTTAAACGTACAACACAACAGTGGGAGAATGGCTAAGTAAATTACACAACAAACAATATTGTGCAGTCGATACAAATAATTCTTATGAATGAAAACGGGACATGCTTTTGTAAAAAAGTGATTATAACTATGTAAAAAACGCATTCTAAAAAGGCTAGAATGAGACATTAAAACGTTATTAAGTGATCACCTTTAAGAAGTAAGAATAACAGTCCCTCTTGGTCTTCTACAGTTTTCATAGTTCTGTTTTTGTTTTTGCTTATATAATGCATTGTTTTTATAATGAAAAAATATATTCTTTCATTTAACTTTTTTTAAAAAAGAAAAAGCAAAATTTTAACTTTTTCTCTGCCAAAGTACTCACATTCTCAGGTATGCTGGGAAGTTCTCTGGTATCAGGCACAGTAAAATAAGAATGCTGGAGAAGAAAAACAAAAGCTATTTAGTTTTTGTAAAAATGTGCAACAAGTACATTACTCAGAATTCAGATAAAATGATCTGAAGATATGTCCTTACTTAGATGAGAAACATTAGTTTCACTCATAGGAAATGCCAATGGAATATTTTCTTTGGATAAAGTTTGATTAAAGCCAGATGCATTAAATCATCAGTTTGGACAGACAGTGTTCTTTTCTATGTGAGATGAACTTCTTTAGGAGATGTAAATGAAGAGCTCAAAAGAGGTGAAAGGCTAAATTCCCATACAATGTTTGCAGGTTTTTGAACACATGAAACCTTCAGGCTTCATAATTTATTGTTCAACGAGGTAAGTGGACTCTAGGGACCAAATATCACTAGGTTCACTCAGCAACGGTCTTTACCAACCAAACCTGCCATTTCATTTCAGCATCTGAGATTACATCCATCTACAGGCTGTAGCCAAAATCAGCCCCAAAGTCCCAAGTGATGTCAAGGACAGCTCTGGCTGAAGGACTGCTACACAGAGATGGCTAGCAGTGGAGAAATCACCCATGATGCATGCTCTGAGAATAAGCCTCCTGGCTTCCAGTGGAATCTCCAATGAAGGGAGTTGAAGACTCAGTGGAGTTGAAAAATTGACTTGTTCAAAGAACTTTCAATGAGGCATCTCCATGTATCTAACAAGCATGTGTCCCTGAGTTAAATGACAACAGGCTGAACTGATGACACGGCCTCTGCTGCTTAAAGACTCAGAGGACAATGGCAAGCAGAAATGGAAAAAGCCTGGTGTTGGCCAATTAAAGACAGAATTGTGCAAAGGCCAGGGAAGGTCACATGCAGAGAAGGTCAGCTTAGCCATGGCCTAAGTTCAAACCTGGACCTCCCAGTGACATTTCAAGAAGCAACCCCCTTAACTCTGCCCTTATTCTTGAATAATTACAAAGTAGGTCTCTAGAAGAATGAGTTGTACGGACTTCCTGAAATGAAAGGCCCTGGGGACAATTATAAATAATGACAATAATAATATGAGCTACTTAGCTAATGTTCAACAGATATTTATTGAACACCTGCTACATGGCTGACTTTACGCTAGTCATTTTACAAATATTAATTGTAATTTCCATAATAAATTTTAAGATAGATATTATCTCCTTATCATAAATGGGAAAATTAAGGATCAGAGGAGTAAAGTAACTTGTCTAAGGTTGCATAGCCAGTAAGTGGCAGAACTAGCATTAAAATAAGATCTATATAACTACAGAGCTAAGTTCTCTCCACTCTAACAGATTATTACATATAATACTTCCTACACGCAAATGATAGCTAAAGTCACTTGAATTAAAATAATAAACTAAATAATAAAGAGAAAAATAGAAACTAGTTAACAACTAATTCAATTTAGCAATGAGGATTAAAATAGGAAAAGTAAAATAAATGTTCAAATCTGACTCCATGAGATACTAACTTCTTTAACAAATAGCCAGAAAAGAGTCCCACGAAATGTTCAGTAAGGGATCTCCCCACAGTGACTGAGTCACAAATTAATGGGGTAGCACAGTAAGGGAGAAGACTGTGGACCAGAGAGTGAGCTATTTAATAGCTATGTGATCCTAGGCAACTTCACACAACAGCCCAGAACTTCAGTTTTTTAATCTGTAAATGGAAATTAGCATATTATCTGTTTCAAAACTATTGTTAAGAATAAGTGTTACGTATGTGGAGTTTTAGCATTCAATAAATGGTATTTTAATATAAATTATCATTGCTCTCAACTGCCAGTTTATTTTTCTATTTTTCTCAACATCTACATCAGACATATATTCTCTTGTGGAGAGAGACTAAAGATAAAACGTCCAGGACTGCCATTTTATCAACATTTCAGGATTCATAATCTAGTTGAGACTGGGCCTTTGAAATCAGAAATAAAATATGGAAGGAGGAATTCCCAGTGAACAAGTAAGAGAAAATATTTGCCTTTACAGATCCAATGGATTGTAAAGAGTAAGTCAACGCAATTTCAAAACCAAGTAGTCCCCAGGCTGTCCTTTGAGATCCTGTCTTGCTCCATCGCCCATGAAATGCTGGGGACCAAGGGAGGTCAGAAACATTCCTAGAAACCACTGGCATGAAACAGCTGCACCACCCCAACAGCTCCTCTGGTCCCCAAGATGGCTGGTCCTTGAGACCTGGCAGGCACCCTGCTTGTGCAGCCATTCAAGGGAGCACCTCCCCAGCAGCTGTGGACGACCCAGCCCGGCTACTCCACAACTACCTGTCCGATGTCATTACATACTTAAGCGGTGAGATCAAATTGCTTTGTAAAAGGAACAGAGACAAAGGCAGGGTTGTTTAGCTAGATACAGCAAGACTGAGGCAGGTTTAAAGCTCATTTGTTCATCTTTTCCAGTCTCTCTTACGAGAATTTCTGTTCAGAAACAAGGTCCGGATGGGCAAAAACCTCTACAAGTGTCTTTCTTTTCAACACATATCACAGAGCGGAAAGAACAGAACACAGGCTTTGAAAACCCTTGTCTTTTCACTTATAAACTGTGAGAACTTGGATTGGCAAGTACATTTTCCTCTCTAAACCTTTATTTCCTCATCTATGAAATGGGAATGTGACTATTTTGTAGAGGTGTTGAACATTTGATGTTGAACATACTTAGCATAAATTAGAAACTTATTAAATACATTTATTATGAGTCACTGGTAGTAATCATGCTTGATTATTGGTAGGTCATCACGCTTGGTAAAGTGGATGGTCAGCAAAAATGAGGATCCTCAACGAGATGGACTGACAGTGGCTGTAACAAGGGGCTCAAACATGGCAATGGCTGTGAGGATGGGGCGGGGCTGGGCAGTGCTTCGTTCTGCTGTACAGAGGGTCACTCTGAGTCCGAACTGATTCCACAGCACCTAACACCAACAACATTGGTAGTAATATTGCTTTTAATTTGATCATCTTCATGAAAAAACCTATAAAAAATATTAATTTTTTTTTTTTTTTTAAGACAACAGATACCATGATAACCTGTACTTGATTCTTCAGAAGCTGAAAGACAAAGCTTTTTAAACTTCCAAAGCACACACTGCAGGGGAAATACCCACTGGATAATCAACCACCAGCAAAAGGGTATCCATCTGAGAAGTCTGAAGAAGGCAGAGACAAAGGTTTGACCTAGGGAATCAGAGAACCACAGACTCTAAAATAAGGAAAAGATCCTCTATCTATATCTCTTCTGATGTCTTATGTGACAGGTGACAAAATTGAGGCCCACAAGGTTGGTCTTGATGAAGATCACTCAAGTCATTGGCAAAACTGCAACTAGGATTGAAATCTTGGAAATTTTTACTCTAGAGGATTTTCAACCCTAGCACACTGCAGAACAGAGAGCACTTACTTGTATTTCAAATAGTTCAAAGAAATAATTATCTCTAGAGGCCAGGAACTGTTAGACACTCTCCATCCCTGCCCTCAAGGGCAACACAGTCTAATAGACGAGACAGACAGGAAAAAGATCATTCCAAGTGGTGTGATTAAGTACTACAAAATGCACAAGTGTCTTAGGAGCAAAGGAGAAAAGCTTAGCTTAGCCTTGGGGGTGTCGAGGAGACCGTATCTCTAGAAATAAAATCTGTGTTGAGTTCTAAAGGGCGAATATGGTTATCATGGCAAATAAGGAGAGGCAACACTGAGGGTGGATGGGCTCCAGTGTAGGGGATGCATGCACAGCAGTGCAGGGGTCAGCCATCTCATTTCACATCCAACATCTATGACGCAGGAGACGCCAGGAAGAGGGTGCTGGGATGTTTGGGACCCACTCCTCACAGTATCCCAGAGGAAGGAAGAAAGGCAACTCCCTGGCCTGCCTCGAGCCCAGGAGTCTCAGAGTATTCCGGCATGGGGTAGGGGAGGTACAGACAATAAAACACCATCCTGCTTCGCTAACTCCCTGTTACTGTTAACAATGAAATGGTTTCAGTGAGCATCAGTATTCTGCCCCACTTACCACACTGAGATGAACAGACACTCCAGGGTCAGGGATAGGAAGTTTGTGCAGAGTTTCAAGAAGCTCATTCCACTGGCTCTCCTGAAAGAAATAAAAGGTATATATCACAAATACAAGGAAGAGCGCTTATAATCAGGGACCTGCAGAGAGGTCTGAACCCAAAGAAAGAGAGCTGCTGCTGTTGTTATGTGCCGTCAAGTCGGACCCAACATATAGCGACCCCTCCTTGGGTTTCCGAGGCATTATCACTATGGAAGTAGATTGCCCCATCTTCCTTCCAAGGAGTGGCTGGTGGGTTTGAACCGCCAGCCATCTGATTAACAGTCAAGTACCTTAGGCAGTATGCTACCAGAGCTCCCCAAAGAGAGCTAGGGGCCCTCATAACTGAGGGGACTGGGGAGAAGCTGGCCCCAATACAGAAATAGGTTTGATATTCAAGTAGGGTTGGGCAAAAGACACTGCTTATGTATGGCTCCAACATAAGAGCCAAATAGATCCTCCCACAACACATTTGACATTTTCTACTCAGTGAGACACCTACCATGACTGTCTTTTATGTATCATATACCATAAGCTCTCAGCTCTTCAACTCCATAGCAACAACTTTTAAACGCAAACAACCCTAGCTTAAGGAGCGGAGGTGGTTGGGAGAAATAACAATGACACTATAGATCTTGTCTTCATCATCATTACCCTCAATTAATTTTATTGAGTGTTCACTGGATACACACGGCCGCCTCCAATTACAGAAAGTTAGAAATTAACTATATCAACAGCATGCAAATAGGATGGTGGCTGTGGATTTTAATTAGTAAAATTGAGCCACAGAATGACATACAAAGCAGTATAAATTATTTAGTTGAAAATGGATTCACCTTTGAAAATGCTCAAAAGAACAATGCTCACAGAATTATCCAAAAGCCATTTCTCCCATCCTGTGGAATTCTCTGTGCTAATTAGCAATATGCTTACACTTGTATCCATTTGTTACCTCTTTTTGATCCTCCCAACTACCTCACTTTACAGATGTGAAAACCAAGGCTCAGGAAGGGGAAGCAACTTGGCTCAAATCAGACAGTAAGCTGCACAGCTGGAATTTAAACTTAGGTCTTCTGTGTTAAAGCCCAGAGTTTTCTCTGCTGTTACACTACTGTCTTTGGTAGTGAACTTGAGAGGAAAAAGAGAATGAGCCCAGACTATAAACTTGTTCCAAGGTAAACTCTGACAAATCACTCAAGTTTTTCACAGAGGAGAGAAATAATCTCAAACTTATAGAACAATTACAGGAACAGTATTATTATTATTATTTTTAACGTCCTAAACCATTTGAGAATGAGTTATGCTCCACTGTCCATAAATACAAACAAGAACATTTTCCTATATAACTACAATTAATCATCAAAATCAGGAAATTAATATTGATACAATATTACAACTATTCCTCAGATCCCACTCAAGTTTTGCTGAGTGTGCCAATAATGTCTCTGACAGCAACATAATCCAGTTCAGAACCCCACGTTGCCTTGCAGCTTCAGGACTCTCAAGTCGTCTTCAGTCTGCTGCAGCTCCTCAGCCCTTACGGGACTGTTAGAGCCTTGGCAGCTAGGCCAGCCATTTTGTAGAATGCCTCCCTCGATCGCCTGATGTTTTCTCATGACTCAGATGTCAATTTGTCCCTTTAATGATGACGTTCCTTTGATCATTTTATTAATTCATCTGATGTCTCCACTGTGGAGTTAATTATCTTTCCCTTTGTATATAATAATTATTTTTGTGGAAAGACATTTTATGTAAATATCCTACTTCCCACCAAACTTTCAATTTATCCATGTACCTTTTTTTTTTAAGTATGAATTCATGGTTTCATTCAATGAGTTATAATCCTTTGCTATCACTATTTGTTTTGATGCTCAAATTGTTCCAGATATGACCAGTGGGAGTCCCTTGCCCCTTTCAAGCTCACTTTTGTGTCCTTTTGACATGTTCCCCTCATGTTTTGAGCACTTCTCTAATTTTGGGCACAAAAAAGATATTCTAGGCTCATCTTATACTTTCCCTGCCCCAGCCCTAGAATTAGCCAGTTCCTCAAAAAGCCTTGGTTCCTTTTAGTGGAAGATGGATTTTAGAAACCAAGATCTTGGCATTAGGTGTACTCATTGCTACTTGAGTAACTGCTGATCCCAGACTCTCAATAGAGCCAGGGAATATATTACACACAGTTGTTGCTGCTATTGATCCATAATACGCTCATCTACATTTATTTCTATATCTGTCTACATATATTAAATGCCATAAGTTCACATTGATAGCTCCAGCAACAATTCAACATATCTAGTTTCCTCCTTTTACATATTTGAAAAGACCTGGCCATCTATACTCCCACAAAGATTACAACCTAGGAAACTCTATGGGGCAGTTAGACTCTGGCCTACAGGGTCACTATGAGTTGTAATTGACTGAAGGAAGACATACAGTGAAAAATCTTGTCCCTATTTTCTTAAAATACTTATTTGTATATAACCAAACTTCTAACGCTGCTCCTGCTTGCCTCCCCATCCAAATACCCTCCTTGCCCTACTAGGACATTGAAACCTAGTGCTGGGCTGCCACTATCCATCACCACATATAAGTGCTCTCCTCATCTCAGATTCCAACACCCCAACGAGGCCTCCTGCTGCTGTCTTTTTTCCCATGTGGATGCCCTCTAGATCCCACTGGACTTCTGGCTTCCAGTGCTGAGCCACTGCCATCATTCTACCACACAAACATCTTTCTCCTCTCCTTTAGGCTCTACTACTCTGGGCCAGGCTGCTCTCTGGCTCAGATGTCTTCCCCACCACCCACTCCAGTGCCCCCTTCAAGTGGATGCTCATATTATTCTGTTTAGCTTCTGACAGGTCAGAGACCTATGCAAACACCTCATCACCCAGCTCAGACTCTGACAGCCCACACTGGGTCACCATGGTAAACCACCACCCCCACTTCCACCCCACAAAAACAGAAGCCAATCTACCCAACTTTCCAATGTCTTTTGGACTTGGGGAAGGGGTTGTATTTTTTAATAAAAACTCTTGCCTGCTGTTCTAATCTGATGACCAATACCTTGCAAACAATGAACCAACTGTAGGCAGACTCCCTATCATCCTTTAATCAGAAGGAACTTAATAAAAAGGATTCTAGGCTAAAGGGAACTAGACTCCAACCAAAACATGTTACTCATCTCCATCTCATCTCCAACACACTGAGGGGCAAGATCCCTGCTGAAGCAAGCACTCACCAGAATGATGCCCCAATTTACGGGATAATAATCCTATTATTATTATTTAATAACGTAAGTCTCCCCTATGCTTAAGTTGTACTTATCCAGCCTCTCTTGCATCACAAGATATGTTTAAAAAAAAAAAAACATATTCCCCCCCAAGTGACTAGAGCATAAATATGGAGGAAAAATATGTGAGTTGACCTCCATTTTAAAACAGTTGAAAGTCTACATGTTACGTGATTCTATTTATTAAAGACATCTTTCAAATGTGAGTGAAAACATGAATGTTTTCTAAATGTTACTAAAGTAAACTGTGAATCAGAAATCGATGAACAGACCCAAGGTGACTTTCTAACTCATTCATCAAAGAGTAAATCACTTCTTTTATGACTGAATTTCCTGATACCTAAGCATCCTTTCAGAATGAGCTTAGTGATCTAGGGAGCCATTTCTATTAGTTATTCCATTTACTATGACCTCTGGAATACATTCATCAATGAGTAAACTTAACTGGAGGGAAAGATGTATCCATTATATACACAATTTCCCGCCTTTTCTCCAAAACACCATTTCCCCAAGCATGCTAAAAAAACACACTAGTATCTTGGAATATTAATTCTTTTTCTTTTTAAATGAAATAAAACAAGGGTTTGGGTGCCTCCACTGCAGGACTTCCCAGATCTGATCTTATATGAATTTTAAGGAGACAAATATGAAACACATCTCTTGTACATGCCCCTCAACAGTATTTAACTCTGGTATCCTTTTTTATGGAACATTTCTTAGAAGCAGGGGGAATACACCAAGATTAAAAAACTTAGGCTATTTATATATATAAAAAAAGTAAGAAGTATATGGACAAATATTCAACTTATTAATACCAAAGACATTCCATTGAAACAATGAGACTTTTTACATGTCAAATAAGCAAGGAATTCAATAAATGATACTGGTGAGAGCACGGTAACCCAGGTACTCTCATACATTGCTGGCAGGAGGCATCCTTTAAGTAAATAGTCCAATTCTTCTGGAAAGCAGTTTGGCAAATGTCTTAAAAATGCTTATATCCACTAACCTTACAATGTCCCATCTGGGATTTTTTTCTTTAGGAAATAATCCAAAGTGAAGAAAATGCTTTATGCTCAAAGATGTTATGGCTTTATTGCTTATAATAGTGAAAAAGTTCTAAATAATAATAATAATAAAATTCCCAAAGATAGAGAAATATACATGATAAAACGTTATGCAGCCATGAAGAACATTTACAAAGTTTTTATAGAACAAGGAGAATGCCTGGGGTAATGCTTCTGGGTTAATGGCACCTAAAAAACGTGGCTAAAAAAATCTAAACGCAGCTATAGTTGACTCTTGGCACCCATGAAGGATAATTTACCAGACCGTTTCTTCTAATAGTACAGTAAGGTACAGCTTAACTTTTAAAGTAATTTTCAGACTGTTACAAACATGACTATGAGTAAAACACAACCAAGGCTTATTGAAATGGGAAGTCAGGACGGCTGGCTAGGTCACTTGCCAGTGAAGTGTCTTACTCAAAAACCCCAGTTCCGCAGCATAACATGAGTAGTTCAAATGTGTGTCTCAGCAAAATTTTAATTTAACACATGCAAGAACTTTCAGTGCTGCTTGGGAACATTAGAAATGGTGAGTATTAACTCTGTGAATGCTCCAAAACAAAAAGCAAACTCACTGTCATCGAGTCATTCTAACTCATAGCTATCCCCTTGGGGTTTCCAAGGCGGTAAATCTTTACAGAAGTAGATTGACCGGTCTTCCTTCTTTGGAGTGGCTGGTGGGTTTGAACCTCCAACCTTCTGGTTAGCAGTCCAATGCCTTAGGCACTACACCACCAGAGCTCCTTCTGTGAATGCTAAGGTTCTATTTATTATTTATTTAACTCAAAGGAAAAATAAAGGAAGGAAAATGCCAAAATGTTAGCAAAATGTATTTAGAAAAGTGGATTGAGGACAGATGAGTGATTTTCTTTTCCTTCCTACTATTTTCTAATATCCCAAACTTTCTATAATGGGCACATATTACTATTTTGGTAAACTTTTTGGTGACATAGATTACTTTTATAATCATAAAAAGTAAATTAACATTTACTTAGTTTTTAAAAAAAAGGCAAATACCTGTCCTTTTGTCGTATAATCTGCCAAGATGTTGAGCAGTTTATAAAAGACTTCGAACCAGGGCAGATAGCTGGGGGAAGAAGAGGGAACACATGAAATATTAGTATGCAAGTCAAAAAATTTAACCAGGAGCTAATTCAAGACTGGTACATCTCAGCTTTTATATATCCTGGAGTCTTCATGTCATGGACTGTGCTGGAAGCACAGATTGGTGAAATGCTAATTATTTCTGGGATTTTTTAAAAATTGCCTGTCCAAGGGGGAGGACTGAATGTCCATTATAAATTATCCCCATGCCTCAGAGCTAGAACAGTTTCAGAGAGAAGAAATTCAAAATAGACTTTGCAATCAAGAACCATCTCAGAGTATCCCCCTCCCCCCCCCAGGATTTTCACCTATCCTTTCCAGGAAAGCTTCTATCCACCTTTCTCACGACTGGACACACACAACCACACACACAGCATCTGCACTGCTGGCATATGTAAGGTGTCCCTGAAGTCCCCACAAACCCGAATCCATTCAAGTAGTTGTATCAAGCATTCTACCTATAATGTACCCCCTCTATATTTACTGCAGGATGAACTATAACTCCATCCCCACTGCCCTCTGTCAGATCCTGTTCATCACTCCCTTTAACAACCACAGCAGCCTGGCAGATGACCTTACTTCTGCAGTCCACCCTCTGTGGAGCCCTTTGTTGTTGTTGTTGTTATTTGCCGTCGAGTCGGCCCGGACTCGTAGCGACCCCTCCTTGGGTTTCCGAGGCAATATCACTACGGAAGTAGGATTGCCCAACCTTCCTTCCAAGGAGAGGCTGGTGGGTTTGAACCGCCAGCCTTCTGGTTAGCAGTCAAGTGCCTTAGGCACTAATGCAAATCTAAGTTACACTCTGGATTAAATTCCTGCATCCCTACAGGATCAAGTCCACACTCAGAATGGCATTCAAAGCTCTTCATGATTAGGCCCTTGATTGTCTTTCTAGCTGTCCTTTCTCTACTCACCTCTGTGCGCACGGCTCTCATTGCAGCCACACTCTGCAAATGTCCAAGCATTCCTGGGCCTTCCTGACCCAGCATATGCTTACTCCTTTTCTCCCTCTGACCTTCCTAGTCTAGTCTTACTGATTTCTACTTATCCTCCTGATAGTCTCCCACCCCAAGCTCATGGCACTTAAATCCCCTTCTTCTGGGCTGCCCTGGTCATGTGCATATTCCTGCTATAACATCCCACACATGATGTAGCACACAATGGCATGTCTGTCTTCCCAACCTAATGTGCACAAACTGAGAGGAAGGGTCACATCTTTCTTTGCTTTGTTTTCTCAGAGCCAAGCACAGAGCCTGGCACACTATCACTGCTCACTGTTTACTAAACAAATAAAATGAAACAAAGACTAACAGTGAAGGTACATTAGTACTATAGAAATGTTGCTGAAATGTATCCCCACCACCTAGAAGTCTGTCACTAAATTTAAATGTTCTCTGCAAGAAACTTTCTCAAAGCTACATCAAATACACACATAAGAAGAATATCGCGTACCAAGTGCTTCCTGTCCTAATCATGCCTGCCTCGTGAGCTAACGGCATCCATTACTGATAGAGCTGGACACGATTTCAAGCTCTGATGGTGGATGACTACATCCTGCCACGGAGAGGGAAATCAGCACCCTGTACAGATTATCAGCTGTACTGCTGAGGGTAATAAATGAAGTGAGAGGCAATAGAGAGGACAGATAAAGTGCACAGTCTGCTATCATTAATGTCTGTCTGAAGCCAGCATATGCTACTGTAAAATTTAAGTAGCTTATCCAAATACACTGATAAGCAACTTAACTTTTCACTTCTATGACAGCATTATCACTTATGTTAATATGTTTCAATCAGCCCTGGCAGCTGCATATTGACTATTACAGAGCAAATGATGGCTGCCACTTTACCCAGTATTGACTTTGGCAGAGCAATGTAAACATTCAAGAGGGATTAGGGCTGAGATAAGTTTCTCCCTTCCTATTCTGTTAAATAAACCTCAGCTGAGTTAAAAGCCATTACAGTAAGAAAAAGAAACCCGTTAGAAGAAAACTCACACAGATTAGAGGACACTTAGTCAACAAATTCAACCAAGGATTACAAATTTTTTTTTTGTCACTGTTGTTCCTGGAAGAAAAATAATCACTGGTTAAATGCAGCAATTAAAGGCAGGAGGGAGGGAAAAAAAGCAAGAGAAAATATTTTCATGCAAGAAGCCAGAGCCTCAAGTAAATGAGAGAACTAAGCTGAAATCATTTCAGGAATACCTGATGAAGTGAACTGGGGCAGGCTGGAGTCTCTGATAACTTAGGGAGCAGTTTCAGGGTTGGACAACTATGTTCAACTGACCAAAACATCTTGGGCACAGAGCCTCAGCATCCTCACCTGCCTGACCCCTAGCAAACAGTGACAGGTTCTCACACTTGGCCTCACTGAGTCAATTCTCCTTGGCTATGCTAAGCAAAACTACAGACCATGGGAGAATTTGTAGTTATCCTGGAAATCAGCCATTTCTTTCTCTCTCTGGCTTGACCGGACACAACTGTTCCCCACATGGTGTCCCCTGTGCACTGACAGATGAATGTCTAGTGATGGCAGTATTAAGGTTTTGAAACCAAAACCCAGCTGTCTTCTTCTTCTTCAAAGGGTCCCTGTTTTCCCTGTTGGGAGGCCAGGGTTCACAGCTGAACTTTATCCAGTGGCGTTTCCTGTACTGCTTCATTAGTGCAGGCACAACAGCTTCGTGCTGCCTGCTAGGCTGCAGGTGAGGGTATGGAGACCCTCCATTCCATTTTGTGCGTGTCTGTCATCATGCAGTAAACAATACTTCCTCTCCCAGAGACAGGAAACAAACACGACATTACACTGCTCCTCCATGCACATCTACAGGGAGCTCAAAACATCCCGGTCCCACTCAGCTTGCTACCATGCAATCACCAGAGCCTTCCCTGCCGAGTGTCACTTTGTGGTGGGCTCAGTCCAAGGCTGGGGCCAACATGACAATTAACAAATGGCCCCTGCACTCAAGAAAGCCATGGTCCTAGTCAGGAAAAGAGACACATATACAACTAACAGTAACAGTTTGGGTGGGGGAAGATGAGAACCTTTCCTAAGTGCCCCATTTAGCTTATCTTTCTAAAATTAATATCACTTACAAAAATATAATGGAGCATTATCATGACCCAATCAGCAGGGGCTTTATTGGTCTAAATGGGAACCGGCTGCTTCCTAAAGCATCAGCTGGAATTGAGCTTCTCTCACCAAACTGTGGTACTTTGTCCAAGGTTCCACCCTCATTCCCAGGTTTGACAGTCACACTGAGGGGCTTTTGTTTTGTGTGAGGCAATACAAAGTTCTGAACTGAAGAAGCGTGAAAGCACCACCATCACTGTTCCTACCCATGAGGCTTCATTGCCACAGGCCCTTGCCTTTGTACCTTATGCACGGTCAGGTTGTAAAGGTAGGGCAGAAAGTAGAAACAGCTCATCACCAAAATTACCCTTAAAAAGCAATCAGGTGCCCCAAGAGTGGAGTCGACATGGTTTGTGTAGACACAAAGTCGTTGGCCTGAGTTTAGTGAGCATGCTGAAATGAAAAATGCATATATTTAAATCTGTCAGCCTGCTGAGCTGCTCATTCTCCAGATGAACTCGGGAACTGAGTCCATATGAAGAACAGAGGATACACTTTTCTAATCTCACTCCACTAAATGGACTGTAAGGATAATCATTATCATTATTTTGTGTGCATGTACACACATGCGTGACTGACCTTGTGCAAGTTAAGTACATGTGTGATGGTATTCCACTTCAGTGTCATAAGTGTTATAACAGAAAACCACTACAAATTTTTAAAAATTCTTCTACCTCTTCCCTTCTTCAATAACTCAGTTCAAAGATATTAGATAAACCCAACCAAGCGAGAGCTACTTGCGTCTGGAATGATGAGTTCAAGTCTAAGAAAAATGAACTGGAACAGGGTCTTTCGATTTTTCTCGGCGACCTTCTACTGACTGAGGATCTCTTGAAATTCCATCTTGGATACACTAACAGCAGCATCCCTTCTTTTTGCACTTCCTCTCAGCAGATTTTGCCAAGAATCTCTGTATGACTAAGTATCCCTTGGTTAGAGCTGTTTGGCATTCAGTAATTTAAAACTTTAAAATTGAAAAAAAAAATAAACTAATTTTCATAAGCAGAGAAGTAGGGCATATACTAAGAACATAGACTTGAATCAAATAACCCTGGGTTGAATGTCGGTTCTGCTACTTAGCAGCTGTGACATACGTGAAAGTTACTTCATCTCTCAAAGACTCAGTTTCTTTTTCCATAGAAAGACATACACCACCTAATTCACATAACAGATGCACGTAAAAACCAATAACCCTGTGCCGAGTCCCTGAGTAGTGCAGTTACATGCTCAGCTGCTAGCCAAAAGGTTGGTGGCTCACATCTACCCAGAGGTGCCTTGCAAGAAAGGCCTGGCTATTTTTGAAAGATCACAGCCATCGAAAACCCTGTGGAGCACAATTCTACTCTGATACATACATTGCCATGAGTCAGAATCAACTTGATGGCAACTTTTTTTAAATCTTGTGCCTAGAATATTCTTCCTGCCTGGCTAATTCCTAACACTCTGCTGGTAACTCTCTTTGACCCCTGGTCCCTAGGTCAGAGGCTCCTTTGGCACTCTGTATTGAATTCATCATTCCCTGTAGCCACTGATTAGATAGGAAAGCACAAGCTGTTATAAAAGGAAAATAATTACCAATGATGTGACTGCTTAAAACAATCAGTCCCTGTTCGGCCCTCCTGGTTTGACCTAGCATCCCTGCTCCTCTCTCAGTGTACCTGTTGGTCACTCATCCACAATTAAAGGCAAATTGACCACAAAATAAAATTACAAGTCCTGCGAAGGATGCAGGATTTCATGAAACCCAGGTTAGAGATGCCAGACACCTGAGTTGAGGCAAAGTCACCAACATGCAGATGCGGCAGCATCGCATCAGACCAGTTAACAAGTGAAGAAGAGAAAAGTCAAGAAA